CATGCCTGCGCTTCGGGTGTTGGGGCAGCTGCCGCCAGGCTGGGGAGAGCCACGGCGCGGCCCCTCCCCCACCTCATCATGCAAGAGGTTCCTAGAGCTGGGGCGACTGGGTCAGGGCTGGCCGGCGTGGTCCGTGAGACTCGGAAGGGATCGCCCGGGTCCAGTCCGGGCTCCTTTTCTGCAGAAAGGGAGAGCGAGGTTCTGAGAGGGGAAGTAAGTTGGCTAAAGCCACCGCATGGACGCTTAAAACGCGAAAGATCGCTCCTCTCTGTCTCCCTGCAAGCTGGAGGGTGCCCAGACCCCTCATTCTATTTTGTGAAAAGAACTGGAGCTCCGTTCCGCGTTGGTCCATTCATCCGTCCACTCACTCGGTAGTAATTATAGAGCACCTACTGTGTGTCAGCCCCAGGAGAGGTTCCGCGAATCGCCTGCGGCCACACAGCTTCAAGCTGGAAGGAGCTTTTTCCCGAGTGCTCCCCTCATGCTTGCTGGGGGGAAGGATTTGACTAAGGATTTAGGTCGTCGATTTAGGTCGTCGGGCAGTTGGAGCCGTAAACCCCTGTCCTCAAGCGTCAATATATTCAAGGGGCACTCCTGAGCTCCACAGCACACACCAATGTGCCTGCTTCACAGAGCAAGGTGGAGGTAGAGCTGGGATTTGAACCGGGATCTCTAGCCTCCTAGACCTGAGCATGGGGCCGGGAGGATCAGGGAGAAGTAACGCTAGGGCTTGGGCCCTGTGGGTATTCTTTCTTGAGCTGGGGGTCACCAGGGAACTGGGGGAAGAAGGGTCGATGCACGGCATAGCCTTTGGTTGGACCGACAAGATCCAGGGTCAGGTGCCGGAAAAACGGAAGTTGAAGCACCCGAGGGCTAGGGAGTTTTCGAATTGGTCCAGACCTGGAAGCCGGAGCACTGCTAGGTGCCGGGCCCAGGGTAGGCGCTAGGTCCCTGGCTCAGCAACCTGGCCCCACCCTCCAGAAGTTCCCAGGTTAGGGTGAGCGACGGATTCATTGTGATAATTAAATCAGTTAATGCCCGTAGGTAGTGAGCATTCAATAAATGTTTGTTATTGACTTTTATTACAATCATTATCATTTTAATTAAACCTTCCCCTCTTAAATGCTGTGAGTGACCCAGAGTGAGCCTGGAGGGAAGCAGAACTTGATCGGGGCAGATATCTGGGAGGGCTTCCTGGAGGAATAGGAGCAGGGGGCTGGTAGATACGGTGGTGGGCCTCTTCGGGCCCCATCCCTTCCCGGGCGGGCTTTCTGCAGCTCCAGAGCTCTCCGTGGTCCTGAAGTCGGCGCCTCGCGAGGGAGAGGTCCAACAGCAAGGGGGGGTGAGTGTGTGTGTGTGTGTGTGTGTGTATGGTGGTGGGGGTGGTCAGAAAGGGAGATGGTGCGAGAGTCCAGCCTCCTCTTCCCCCATCCCTTCTTTATCTCCCCCATCCACTACCTTCCCTGGTGTTCCGACCTCTCTTGGGATCCGAGGCCAATGGGGAGGCTTCTCGGTCGCGGGCGGAGAAGCCGGACCAGCACCAGGGAACCCGGGTTTCCAGCCAAGGCGCTTTGCTCTGTTGAGCCTCAGCTTCTCCATCTGTCAGATGGGGGTGGCCGTCTTCTCCTGGCCTTCTTCAAAGCGTGGTGGGGTACCAGAGAGGCGAGGGCGCTTTGTGCACTGCCCGTAGCTGTCCCAAGGAGAGTTCCTCTGGAGCTGCGGTCAATGTCACCAACGCTAGCATCACCCCGAGGGCGCAGGCTGGGCCAGCCCCACAGCTGCGCCCTGACGCTTGGAGACGCTGTTCGCTTCACCTCTCCGGTTCCTCTCCCCTATTCCTTCCTCTTCTCCATGTGGCCCCCTCTGCCCTTCTCCATGGCTTCTCAGGGACCGGACAAAAGGCAGCCGCTCTGGCGCGCCCAGGGCTCCGACAGCACTCGAGCTTCGCGACTGTGGAACTCAGGGGCTCCCGATCTCCACGGAGGGAGGGTTTTACTTTCTGCTGGCAGAGTAGCCTTGAGGCTTGGGTTACAGCGGGCTCAGGTTCCGGGGCGGGCCTCACCGCTCCAGGGATTTGCAACGGGTGCCCCGGCCCTTCCCCCCCGCCCACATGGCTTCTCCCTGGGCTGCAGGAGGGGTTTCTGCGGCGCAGGCGCAACGATTGCCGCTGCTGGAGGCTGAGCGTCTGCGGCGCTTTGTACCGGCGAAATCTGCTTGGGAGCAGCGATCTGTTTGGCCAGTGGCAGGCGGATGCTCCTCCCCCTGATACGCACGTGGTCTTGTCCCTTGCTCTGGGGGCTTTCTGCTCAAATCTCCAGACTGACCCCAGGGAACGCCCTGGTACGTGGAACCTAGGACTTAACAACTCCAAGGAAGGGAATGTAGGATTTGGGGAGGGACAGTGTCCCCACCTGCAATTTCCGGTCATTGACAAAGATTTTAGGCCTCGCTGAGAGCCAGGGATGCATGAATGCGTGGAGGGAAATGAGTTGTAAACAGTGTGGGGAAACCTGGCTTCTCCATGCTGCTTTGCTGCAGCTAATATGTTTTGCACCTGGGGTACATCATTTTACCTCTGTAAGCCTCAATTTCCTATCTGTAAAATGGGAAAATTATGCCTAGTGTTCCTGGGGATACTGAGCTGGCTTATCTGTGAAGCTAAAACCTCACCTCTATTTTAAGGCCCAGGTGTCTCTGGCCTCCTGCCCTGGATTAGGGGAATGGCCTCTGGGATGGTGGAGATCAGGGCCCCAACCCCCAACCAGGGTGCTGGCGGAGCTGTATCATAGACTTGGCCACCCTCGCTCTGGATGACAACTTGGAAGCAGAAAAGATGAGTTATTTCATAGGACCTGTGGGGTTGGATTTCGCATGCAGCAAATGAACAGCGAAGTGGTGGATAAGGTTGGTGTTTTATTCTGCCTGGGGACTTGGGGCACCTGTTCAGTGAGGTGGGGGCTGGCTGGGACTCCCCCTTTTCCTCCATCTTTCATCTTTTCCCCTCTACTGTTATGAACCTTGTCAAGCTGTGACCTGGCTTCCTGCCCACCTCCCTCTGGAGCAACATCTGGATCATGGACCCCGGGGCTGGTGTCCACACTGCTGGGAGGCAGGAGCACCCTAATCCTCCTGACTCCCAGCTTGTCTCCAGGGCTGTGGAGACCTTGGTGCCAGTGGCCCAGCCCTCCAAACACCTGCTGTCTTGGAGGCAATTCTGCGGGGTTACCTGGTGGCCCTGTAGCAGGACCAGCCGCAGGCAAAACTCCTGAGACACCGGATTAAAGAAGGAAGTGGTTTTTTATTTGGCCGGGAGCTCGGCTCTTAAGACGCGAATCTGCCAACGCTCCTTGACGAATAAACCACTTCCTTCTTTAATCAGGTGTCTGAGGAGTTATGTCTGCAGCTCGTCCTGCTACAACCCCAATGCCAGGCTGCTGTGTGGTGAGGGAGCTGCTGTCGGAGTAGAACAGGTCAGCATTAATTAAGGCCAGACTCTTCTGTCCCTGCTGTTACCTCTGCCAGTTACGGAGATTCCACCTTAGAGGCCCCCAGGGAAGGCTGGTTCAATGCTAAGTTGGAGAGGGTGTCAGGGAGAGGCTTCGCGGTGGGGAAGGCAGTGGAGATGGGTCTAGGGGAGTGGGCAGCCTTTTGTCTGGGGAAGACTATTCAGGGAGAGGGTACAGCGTGAATAAAGGCTTGGGGTCCGAGATGGAAAAATTGCTTGGTGCATTCAGGGAGAGGCACTCGGAAAGGACAAACGGAGGCTATGGAAGGAGAGGCAAGAGGGGAGCGGTCGTTGGGCGCGATCCTGGAGGGCCAAGAACGTTCCCAGAAGCTTGGGCCGGTCCTTGGCCCAAGTCCCACACTCCCTCCCCCTACACCCCCGCAGATGTTCCGGGGAGGCCTACAGATGCGCGGCCGCACACCTGTGGCGCCGCCAGCGGGCCCTGACCGCGCCGTCGTTTTCTTTTAAACGAGCCCTGAAAACCAGACTCTCTAGATCGCGAGAGCGAGGCCAGGGCCCGCCAAGGGCGTGTGCGCCGGGCGGGGGTCGGCGGGGCTG